ATTGCCAGTAGCTTCAAGTCACTAAACTGACTCGCAGCAAACCCTCGCCAAAGTCGTCTCCTGCATACACCCCACACAGCGGACCCCGGATTAGTGTTGGAGTAGCATGAGGCCAGGAGCTCCATGGATGCATCAGCGGCTCAACACCTGCATGAGATAAGCCAGGTCTGGGTGAGTAGCAACTGACAGATATATGATAGCACCAAGCACCTCACGATAGAGCATGGTCGCCATCTCGAGGGCCTCCTCTGGTATCACCTGTGTAGAAGCCTTCGCTAGCTTGATCCTTGATTTCAGTGGCGTGGCCACTGGGTTCGACTCTTGCATGTTAAAATGTGTCAAGACACGCTGTGCATATGCTCCCTGGGTAAGTCACAAAGTGCCAGCTGTTCGATCATGTTCAATGACCACGCCAAGCATATATTTTAGTTCTCCATCGCTGCTGAGCTGGTATCATGCCGCCAAGTCCCCCCACGTAACTGCAAGACCCGAGACGGTATCGGAGGCAGACGTCACATCATCGGTGTAAGTAGCCATAATGGAAAGCCCCTCATCATTGATCCGGGCCCACACACACTCATCTGCCTGAGAATGCGAGAACCCAAGATCAGAGTAGGTAAGTCGAGGTCTTTTCACCACTCATTCTCTGACTGCATGATGCCATAGAGTGCTCTGTCCAATGCACACACCCAGTCGGGATGCTCCACATCCACATAGCCTGGGGGTCACTCCATGAAGATGTCCTCAGATAATGATGCATTCAGATATGCCTTCTCTACATCATCCTGGCCCATCTCCATCCCCCGGTAGGTAGCCAATGTGAAAATGACCCAGAGAAATTCGAAACACATGACGGAGGCATGCATCTCGAAATAATCCACACCAGTGATCTGATGGAAGCCCTTCATGACGAGGCGTGCCTTGGGTTTCCATTTGCCATGCTCATTGAACTTTTGTGTGAAGGCCCATTTGCAGCCTACAACATTCATGTCAGCTGTGCTAGAAACCAGTCTCCAAGCCCCTATCTTGCGTAAATCTGACATCTCCTTTTCCATTGTGGGTCGCCAGATATTGGCATCAGCGATGGCCTGCTTGAACATGGTAGGACACAGCCCCCCTTCATGAATGTAGGCATCGGAATTGACCAGCATGTCTGAGGCAGCGAGAAAGGTGATATACGCCTCAGTGGCATGAGGTATGTCATTTGTCCAGAGCTCCCCCTGCGCCCGAGCAATGTCCTCACACTGGGTAGCCTCCTTAGACTCATGCAATGCGTGGCTCTCCACTGGTGTCCTGCTCGATCACTGCAATGGTGCAGGCTGCTGTGGTGCAGATGGCAGAGATGGTGGCAATAGAGGTGCTGAAGGAGGGCACATAGGCAGTGCAGATGCAGGAATGGTAACAGATGGGAGAGGGCATTCAAGAATGACATTCTCAACGGTACGGTGAGGTGCACTCTCCTCAAATATAACATTGCGAGACCGCACAATTTCCCCTGGAAGACCTGCCATCAGATTCCAGAGGCGATAATTGGCATCATCGGTGTAACCAACAAGCCAGCATTGATGAGATTTCAGATCCAGTTTGATGCGTACATCATCAGGTACCTTCATCCATGCCTTAGAGTCGAAAACACGCAAGTGAGCGATATTCGGTAGACGACCATGCCAGCATTCATAGGGAGTATGTCCTCCTTGACGTGTAGATGGAACAAGTGATTTGAGATATGCACTGGTATGGAAAGCCTCCACCCAAAGATAATTAGGGAGGCCAACATCATAAAGCATAGCCCGTGCATGATCAGCTAGTGTGTGATGCCCCCGCTCACTAACACCATTCTCCTGAGGTGTATATGGCACCATCGGCTGGGACACGATCACATGTTGCTGTAGGTAGGCAGCTCACATGTCGTTGATGAACTCGGTACCATTGTCAAAATGTATCCTGTGGAGCTTTTGGTCGGTCTGACGCTTCGCCATGCGATGGAAGGTTTGGAAGCACCGAAGTGTGTCCTCCTTGATCGTGTTGACCAAAGGATAGACCGTAGTAAATGATGATGCCCCATCGTCAATTGTCATCAGGTAGCGTGCACTGCTGAGTGAAGACACAGAGAATGGTCCCATGAGGTCAACGTATATGTGCTCCAGAAGCTGCGTCTCAACCTCCGAAGCACAGAATGGAGCACGGGTCTGTTTGCCTTTGATGCAGTCCTCACACTGACTGACACTGGGGGCATGGGCCCATGATTCCGCCCGAAACATTTTGGACACATTGTAATAACAGTCCAAATAATTATGCAATGATTTTAGCGCATACATTTTGAAATCATTTTGAATGTTTTAAAATGTTTTTAGCATTAACATTGTGGCACAATTTTGATAGCATTCATAAAGATGCAAGAATGAGACCCCAATGCTGCAGATGACAGCATTCAAGCATTATTGCGATAGCATCTGAAATGTTTCTTGGGGGAAAATCTCAAATAATACCTGTGAGTGGCCATGATGTCTTCAAGATGTTCACAATGGATTCATTGTGATCGCATAATTGTTATTACTATATATAGTAATGTGCTAACCATATTAGGACATCCCTGATGCGTTCAAGATGATTCCAGCCAGCACATGATGGAAAGCATCTGGTACTCATCGTAACATCACATTGATCACATCTGTAATGTATCCTTAAGATCCATTCAAAATGATACCAATATATTATATGAATGCTGGCCGGAGCAAAATTATTGTCTCATCCTGGTGTGTTTCTGAATAATATCACTATTATTCCACAATGAGCTCACTCGCAATAATTTAAATTATTCCGTGATGTTTACATCAGTAACATTAGAGTTACATTGTGACTGTTATCGTGATGTGTCCAAAATGTTCCCAGCAGAATCATGGGCTCATGCCCCCGGTGTGATGGGTTTGCCACCATTGACAACTATCCTGGTGACCGGTGTGCACCTCTGCATCTCCTCCACAGTTCACTCACTGACATATCCCAGATGATGATGCCAGGTCATCACATCAGCAGCGGAACTCAGCCTGGGCACAGCCAATGCATGAGGGTCATACGCAAGTAGAGCACGAGGGAGATGTGGCAGGATCTTCAGATCGACCTTCTCGAGTGTAACCTCATAGAGGTCCCCAGATGTGAGTGTGCCGACAATAATGAGACATGAGGATGGGCCATGGATAGTCAGCTTACCATGTTCCCCTGAGTACTGCCTACCAGCGTGATCGAGTCGTGACATGGAGATGAGGTTTGCTGCCAACTCGGGTGCATAGATCACATTCTGGAACGTCATGATGGACATCCTGCCATCAATGAGGACCTGCACAGCCACATTCCCAACCCCTACAACAGCAACCTCAGAACCAGTATAATGACAGTGATTTTCAATGAGCCCATGCAGCTGAGCGATCTCTCATGGGTCAGTGACTTTCCCGAGCTTGACCATCTCTGGGTTGACTTTGGACGTGAACATGTGAGCGGTATCCAGAATGTATGCAATGCCTCTGCTCATACCTGCCCCGAAGTTACGGCCAGTGCTGTCAAGTATTACGACATGAGCACTGGTCATATATTCACATTCATGGTCACTGATGCCCTCAACCACAGCATTGGCACCTGAATTCCTGACTGCAAATCACCCCACAGCGACTCCACGAATGAACGCCTCACCGGATGTCACATTGTATAAGCAAACATTGCCCACGATGACGTTCTTCTCAGCCTTGGAGGTTGATTGCTTCAGCACAGATGAGAAGAATGAGAGCGATGAGAGGATCAAGGGGTGGGCATAAATAAGATTTTAGATATAGGGTCAGAAAACTCCGATGAGACCCCTTCTCCCTCTGTGGAAATGTCACATGATACTGATTGTGGCGCATCATTTCACTTTCAGTATAGTGGTGTCGGAGTACATTGCAATTCTGCAAGTTTGCAATTTCAGTTGCAATTGCATTACAAGATAAACTATGTGTTAAAATGATATTCCAATCAGAGCTATTTAATTATCATATCAGACCTTGGATTGCAATGAGACATGATCATGTTGCAATTCCTTCAAGACGCGCACCTCTTGTGTCATTGCTATGTCTTGCTATCCGACATCTTACAAGTGCTTCACAATTTTTGCTCGCTTTTGTATCTTGAGCTCTCTTATCTTTTCTGAAGCTTGCATCTTGTACAACTCTGCAATGTCCTTACAGCAGGTCACAACCCAATTGCAGGCTAAAGGCCACCATGCCTCTGTACAAATACATTAATGCGAGAGGTGTCACAAGACTTTCAATGCAAAGGAGATCGCAAGCCATGAGTGAAAATGTTTAAAAGAAGCCAGAGATCGTGATCGTGATGCAGAGCTGTTGTGAGAGCTGGTCCCAGAATGAAGTAAGTGCTTGACAAAACATGGCTTATTCTGATATTATCATTAAACTCCAGTTGTAGAGACAGATGGCTTGCAAGGTGCAGCACGAGAGTTCACAAGCCACCTTGCGAGGATTGTGAACTTAGGTACACAAATGTCCTTGACTGCATAGAAGGGAGCGATGTGGCCGTGAATTTAACTGACTGATGTCTACAGCTGCTCGAACAGTTGTCTTGGAAGCATCAAGTCTTCAAGGCGCAGCTGGCCACTGTGATGGTAAGTGATGTTAGCCTTATATTCTTCAAATTATTGCCTTATGCCACCACCATGAAGGACCTCTGCCATGTGGCGAGATGCCCTTGCACGAGCCAGCTGAATGCCCTGCCAGCACATCAACCAATGACTCGAATGCAGGTCGTGACATATCTGATGAAGGTGAGTAGTTGTGGACTACAGGAGTTGGCAGCTCGATTGTGTGCTGATATGGTCTGTCAAATAAAGATACATTCAAGCCATGTATTGATGATATCAAGACAGTGTTTCATTCTCGTGCAAGAACTCCATGCAGGTTCAGTCATTTGAGGAATATGAACGAGATGAAGCTAGTCAGCCTCCTCCACCACAATCTGAGAAACCTTGGGGACCATTTCGAACATGCACAGATTTTGAGTTTGCTAAGATTGCTCTAAATGCTGCACTCAACAAAGATCAAGTCAATGCATTGATCAATATTATTAATGCAGTCGCCAGTGGCAAGGCTGAATTTACCATAGCCAGTGATATGGAGCTTCACAAGTATTGAAAACAAGCATCAGTGCTGTTGACACCTGTACATATTCTTAATATCTTGGCTAACCTGCCTTCTCACCATGAACATTGCTTATCAAATATAGTTTGAGCAGTACACTGTAGATGTTTCATATAAGAAAGAAGTCCACACTTTTGAGGTCTATGGCTGTGACTTGTGAGAATGATGTCTTGATTTGCTCCGTGATTCACGATTGAGATCACATTGGAATTGGGATGCTGCGAAGCTGTACAAATTTAATGGCAGTAATTTTGTGCACTTTGTTCATGAATCATGGACTGGGGACCTTTTTTGAGAATTCAGGTAATAAAATTCATAACGTAAATCATGTTCATTATTTGACTTTTTCATAAAGCAACCTTCCAGAAGATGGCACTCCTTTTGAACTTATCATTTATGCAGATAAGACAAAGCTATCCAGCTTTGGTACAGAGAAGAGATATCCTGTGATAGCTCGTGCAGCCCAGCTGCCAATTGAGATTCACAATGGTGAAGACATTGGTGGTGGTACTGACTATGAGGAACAGTGTGGATTTGTGATTCATTTTAAACTTCAATTCAGACTCTGATATATCTTTACCAGATGTATGATGGCTTTAATTCATGGGATGAACAGCCACTGTTGCTGTCTAATCTGTTTAGTGCTTACTGAAAAGCTGATGAACCTGCATCTTAATTTTCCTCTTCACACCATTGCAGATTCAAGAGCTATTGTCAAAGCAGCACAAATCATGAAGCGAGAGGAGGCAAATGAGCTTCTCAAGACATATGGTCTATGGCCAGTCGAAGTAAGTAATTTGGCCAAAGATCATTTGGATAGATGCTCATAAATCGAATAAAATAAAATAAATAAAATAAAATATTAAGCCTCAGATTAAGAGATGAAACATGAGTGAGCGTCCGGGATTAAGGAGGATTCAGAAAGATGTGGATCTTCCAGATATAGCATTTTCTTATATATACGTGTATATATTAGGAATATTAGATAATCTTTCAGCCACATGAGCCTGGACTCTCATTTGTGAGGGCCTCAGTACTTTAGCTTGTCCCTGAGCCTTGACCGTGAGGTTCAGCCATCTCAACACTCCTCTGCAAGCCGATGGACATTCCAAGCAAATGAGATAGCTTTTGATACCACACTTTGGAGAGTGCCTTTGTAAAAATGTCTGCAATCATATCTTCAGTAGAACAGTAGATAATATTGATACATCCTCTTTGTTGCTGTTTGCACACATAATGATATTTTACATCAAAATGTTTAGAATGCACATGAAACTGAGGATCTTTTACAATTGCAGAATTATTATCCTCATACAACAGGGTAGGTTGTGACTGATTGAAACTTATTTATTTAAATAAGCTTCACAGCCACATGGCTTCACGGGCTGCTGCTGCAGATGTGATGTATTCTGCCTCAGTTGTAGACAATGCAATCGTGGTTTGCTTTTTAGCACTGCACGTTATCGCACCTGATCTAAGATGGAACATGAAGCCAGAGATGGACTTCCAATCACATATGTCATTTGCATAATCCACATCGGAGAATCCATGGAAATACACACTATGCTCAGATTGAGCACATGTATCAGCCTGATTTTCAAGGCCATAAGTGATTTCTGCATCTCATGTTTCTGCAAGATAGCGGAGCACACGTTTAGCAGTAATCCAATGTGCTAATGCTAGATTCACCGTGAATGAGCTGAGATGTTGCACGATGAATGCAATATCGGGACAGGTTGTCACAGCAGCATACATTAAGGAACTGATCAATGACGCATATGCATTGCTTCGATCAGGCATGCTATCATCATTATCTTCTTTCTTCTCGAGCGCTATGTTCAGATCAAGAGGCATTCCAATAAAATTAGCATTCACTAATCTGTTTTTTATAATAAAGCCTCTATGTATTGAGATTGAGAGATTTTAATTGTGCATTTGACGTGATCTCTCATAATTTTAATATCAATGATCTTTTGAGGTTTTCCTAAGTAGGTGACTTCAGACGTGCTTTGAAGTTCCATTCTAAGGAATCCCATAATGCTCGGATCTTTGGTGAATAATAATAGATCGTCTACCCAAACGGTGACAATTGTTATCTTATCTTCTCAGATTCGGATGTATGCGCATGAATCTATGAGTAAATGTTTGAAACCCATGTTTAATAAACATTGATTCAATTTAATATACCACTCGCGACCTGCTTGTTTGAGTCCATACAAAGTTTTCTAAGGTAACATACTCGATTTGTTTCATTGTTATATACTTCTGGTTGATGCATATATATTTTCTCTTTAAGGGATCCATTCAGATATGCTCCTTTGACGTCCATTTGTTAAATTTCCCAATCAAGGACTGCTGCCAAACCTAGGACTGCACGAATCATTTTGAGACGCACAACTGGCACAAAGGTCTCTGAGAAGTTCATTCCAGGAATCTGAGAGTACCCTTTCGCTACCAGGCATGCTTTATATTTCATTATTTCACCTTCTTTGTTTGTCTTTTTGACAAGGACTCATCTGTTTCTGATAGGTTTGCAATTGAGAGGGAGATCTACCAGATCCCATGTTCCCATGTCATGCAATTGTTCAAGCTCTGTTTGGACAGTCTTCTCCCAGCTTAGCCATTCAAAAGACTGCTTTGCATCAGCAGGCTCATTTGCTTCCATATTTCTGAGAGCATTCATGGCTATATAGACAAGCTCTGCAAATGACGCTTGATCCGTAATGTGTTCATCATTCACACTCAGATCAAGATTATCAGCACTTCGAGCTTCTTCCGATATTTTGTCATCTTTTGTGTATGAATCATTGATGTTCGGATCATCCAGCAATCGATAATCATGCTGGACGGTTCTTCTATTCATCCTTCTAGGCTCGATGGGTGCATCATATTCTCGTTCTTTTCTCTTTTGAGAATTTTGATTGCTTTCTGGAGCCAGATCAAGGTCTTGAGACGGATCATCATCTAAACTGAATATCTGCATGTCGTTGTTATCCTCAGACTCCCCTGCATGCTGCATATTCGCAGGTGAAGATGACTCCCCCACAAAAGGAGATTGAGCCAGTTCAGGTGACAATGCAGATGAGAAATGATAATTACGCGTAATTTTAATTTGACACATTTTTGCATCATAATATCTAACCGCTTTGGGTCCATCCATGTAGTGGACAAAAACATGTTTGCCAGCTCGCAGAGCGAGTTTAGATAAATTGAGTTCTTCATCAAGAATTCAGATAATCTATTAAGTCTCAGATTAAGAGAGGGAACACAGGTAAGCATCTAAGATTAAGGAGGATTCGAGAAGATGCAGATCTTCCCGATATAGCATTCTCTTATATATACATATACATATTAGGAATATTAGATAATCTTTTAGCCATATGAGCTTAGACTCTCATTTGTGAGGGTCTCAGTTCTTCAGCTTGTCCCCGAGCCTCAGCAGTGAGGTTCAGCCATCTCAACACTCTCCTGCAAGCCAATAGACATTCTAAGCAAATGAGATAGCTTTTGATGTCGCAGTTTGGGGAGTGCCTTTGTAAAAATGTCTGCAATCATATCTTCAGTAGGACAGTAGACAATATTAATACATCCCGATATTGCATTCGCTGTGCAGCACCTCAGCTCATTCATGGTGAATCCAGCATTAGCACATTGGACCAATGCTAAATGTGTGCTCCACTATCTTGCAGAACATGAGACGTAAGAATCACTTATGGTCCTGAAAATCAGGCCGATACATATGCTCAATTTGAGCATAGCACGTATTTCCATGGATTCTTCAACACAGATTATGCAAATGATGTACATAATTGGAAGTCCATCTCCGACTTCGTGTTTTGTCAAGAATGTCTTCTGAAACATTGCTAACACTGATGTGCATCAAGCACTATCATTTGATCACCTGCATGCATATCATCTTGGCCTATTTGGTGACCATCTCTTTGCTGAGGTCTTGCAAATGCTCGGAGGACTTGGACGAAGTGCAGAAAGTCAGGCAGATCAATAGGATGAATATTTCATTGATATATATTATTGATCTGATTATATATCTGTTTCAGAAGAGACAAGATTTCACGATGACACAATTTAAATTACTTCAGCCAAATGATGAAGTTTGGGTTTAGCGATGGCACCAAGTATGAAGATATGTTAAAGATGATCAGCATGTCTCTTGGATTGTATAATATAATTGATAGCCCTGCAATGGGTTGTAATGTTTGCAACACACAATGTGCTGGTCTCTCACTCTGACTCACCAGAACAAGCACTTGACCTTGGCACACATGAACTTGTAACAGATAGGGTCGAATTCGGTCATATAGCATCATTTCAGCTTGGCACCACGATAACAGACAAGGCACTATTCAAATATAAGCAAAGATGGATAGGGTAGTGCAGAGAGCTTACATGTTTGTATCCCAGCAAGGGTTGTATTCTGGTAAAACAGAATGATCACGATATGAAGCGGAGCTCTGTAGCATAGAGGAGCCCCCAAGACAAGCTCATTTTTGAAATAAACAATGCCATTAGCATCCACGGATCAAATAATTAAGTCCTCAAGACGATCATCAGTAGCAGCAGTAGCAGGGACAAAAGCCTCAGAGGCAGGCATCACAGCCAACAATCTCACAGACATGGACTTCACGGAGCCTGCCTTTGCAGATACAGACTTAGAGAGCTCCTTTACAGCAAGCTAGTAAGAGAAAGCAAAATAGAAAAATGATGGAGCCTACTATACTCATTCTCAAAATTAGAAGAAGAACTAGGAGTAGCTCCCTTGGTCAACTTGTCTTTTTCAATATCTTCAGGAGCAGCAATGGAAGATTTGGAGTCAAAAGGAGTGGGGGGAGCCACAATGACAGCCTCAAGTGAAGAATAAGATCAGCAGATAAGAAGATGGCCATGGCACAGACCATGAAGGGGTAGTTCTTCAGCCTCAGAGTCAGGCTGAGGTGTGAATTTTTAAAAAGAAATGCAAATGA